AGGACTGGGCATGCTATGCAACCCGCAGCATCATCAGCAAAGCCTGTTTCCTAAATAGCAACAGGTGAAATCCCCTCCGTCAAGCCCTGGCCTCCTACCCAGCCAGAGCACAAGTGCACAGATATTTGAACATACCCTACTCTTCGTCTGAGATGGCAGCCCTGGGAGCTTTATTTTTTCCTTCACTCTCTTCTTAGTATAAATTGAAAGGCTGCTCTTGTCCGCCATTGGTGAAATCAAAGGTTAAAAAGTGATGGCTTACAGGGCAACTAATAGCTTTCCAAAAACCAACCTTACTGGCCTTGTTGTAGTATATATGGATTGTTTAGCTGTCCAACACCAGCTATGGAGACTGAGTCATGGCATAACCAGTCCTCCTGGCAGTGTGCACCTTATTCATTTTGGTCAAACCACCATATTCCTCCAAAATACCAAATATCCAAATCTTTCCAAAATCACTCACTGCACATAAAGTACATTTTCTATATCTCAAACTTTTAGGTAAAACATGGATTGGCTCTACTGGAAAACTGAAATTATGCACATTTGTGGATGTGTGATAAAACCTCATAAAAGTCTGGACTCCAAAGTTTTCCTCCCTAAATCTTTAAGTGAAATTGACACTCCAGGATGATGTACGATGTTAGCTTATGGCTTCAGGTATTCTCTGATAGACCACCACATAGTCTAGAGATTGAGGTACTCCAGTTTGGAACACATAACACCGGGTAAAATAACAAAACAACAAACTACTCTTTTGTATACTGCAATACCATAGAAATGGTGGAATTACTAAATTTTATCTTTATAAAAATTTGTCCAAAATTCATGTGATAAAAAGCAGTTTTTACATATTATTAATAAACACAGGATATATTTCAGAAAAACCTGAGTTCAGAACAGGCAGCATGATGAAGTATTTCCTAATGGAGATTTACTAAACAATAAATAATTGCAAAGGTTCTTGTACTTAATTTTCAATAATATAAAATTAAAGCTTTATAACTTCTCTCCATTCATGCAGTCCTACACAGTCATACAGTGTAATATCAC